ATAAAGGTTGTGAATGACTAATAGAGGATTCATCACTCTTAGATAGTAAGAGATTGTGATATGCATTTCATTCAATTAAGTCAATAACGAAATCTTTGGCCAAGGTATACATATAAGTCGAAAAGGAGTTTTCGACTCATATTGGCTTAATAGTAGAATGAAAGATATGATCGATAATCGAGATTGACACACTTCCATATCTCGTAGTTGATCAGATCATATTGATGAAGAGATTATAATTTCATGGTAAATGAACAGTTTTGGTTTTGTCATACCACGTGACATTTTCCGTCACATGTGTTGCCCTAATACATTGCTAGATGTCAATCTGGGCCGGTGAGTGTGAATTTGTAATAAATTAAGAGGGTGTTTAATTTATCAGTTTTGATTATATCAAAATAATATTTCACGTCATTAGGTATCGTGGTCGGGAACCTGATGGGTCATATACAAAAGAGAATTTGAAGATTGCAAATTCTCAATTAATTAATTCATCCAATCGTTGGATAAAATTAATTAATTGGATTGGTTATTTGTATCCCCGAATTAATTAATTGGATTAATTAATCACGGACTGAATTTAATTAAATGGATTAATTAAATATTGGACAGGACCGGGCCGAGCCGAGCCCGTTTGGGTTTATATAAATACATGGCTAGGGTTTGAGATCCATATTGTTTTCATTATTCTTGTTGGCACAAGAAGAAAAATCCTAGCAGTTGCAGTCTAATCTCTGTGTAGATTTCACTGGAGGTTAGACAATTGGACAACTGTGGAAGGCAGATTCAAGTTGCTGGAAAAGGATAACAAAATCAAGGAAAATGTATATTTTTCATCACAGTTCTTATCTAAATACAAAACTGAATTTTGGTGGGAATTGAAATTGTTTATTTTCGTTGTGCATGTTTAAGTGAATTCCCAACAATACATGCTTCCATGCAACTAACTTGCAATTGAAAACTAATCCACCAAAGGTTTTTTCATATATCCTTGGATTCATCCCTACGCCACTAACTTGCAATTGAGTAAAAATTATATTAGACCACTTGTTTCATTTTTAAGTTTGATGGTTGTGATGATTTCTTGCAAGCTGTAGTTTTTGATCGATTGAGTTTGAACTTTTCGTCAATTTTTCTAAAAATCATTGAACCAATTAATGCTTAACTGGAATTAATATCCCTATATTCAGTGTGCAGTTGATGATCCTATTGTTCAGAATTTCTTTTGTGATGCATCTGATGAAAGTTTAATAGAGAAAATGGGTCATTATTTAGAAATTTGATGAATCGTAGAGGATAAATTATTTAATTGAACAAAACAATGTATGCAGGCGTCCAATATTTTTTTGTCAATATCTTAAGAATTATATACTACTCGTGTAGTTCAAACACAATGACATTACTGATAGATTCAACTTTTCTCACATATTTGCCTAAACTAATCAAACACATACACTAGATAGTTTTTAATTTTTGATTTAGATGATAGTGATTTTTGAGACAGTATGAGCATTCTTCACTTTATATTTCTTTAACTAACTGCAACCATAAGTGTATGCATGGGGAATTTTATTAACGAAGCAATAATATGCTCCCAAGACTCTTGAATAATTCAATAAATCTTCAATATTTTTTTTTAACATCTACAATTTCTACATTAATAAAAAAACACAATAAATACAACATTTGTGCAACGCACGTGACAATGACTAGTATTGTATATAGATCTAGAAGATTTACTCATATAGTTTTAACTCCTAACGTTAAAAAAATAAAATAGTAAAAGAATATGTGATTTTCTGGTACATAATTACTTTCAAAGACTAAATTGGAAATATTGTAGTATAATTTATTTTAGATGACTTGACGCAGAGTTAAATAAAAAATGAAAAACAGATATCTATCATTGTCAAGTAAGAATAGTCTATAGTGGACAAAATAAAATAATATCAAGAACTGGCACAAAATAAGTCACTTCTTCAACTCTCGTGAGTTACTAGTTAGATATTCGATCTTAGTCCAGAGAAAGAAAAAATTATAGACAAAAGTACTTTGATCGTTGTCGAGTAAGTGAATTGTTACCCAATTGTAGTTGAGAACCTCGTTTTATATTGCAAACTGAGCATCCAATTATGATGATTCCTTGTTAAGTTCAAAAAACAATTATCTAAAAAAAATTCAATAGTCACTTTTTCACGTATGAGACTAGAAATCGAACAAAGTTTCCTCTATACTAGACATCAGTTGCAAAATTATGAACATTGTTATTCACTCAACTAATAACAAATTTCTAGTTAGTGAACAAACTTAATTTTATTCTAATATGATCTCCAAAATTTGAATTTATTATTATTATTTTTTTTTATTTTTTTTGCTTCATCCGATGCTACCAAAAGTCGTATCTAAGATGAAGATAGGTTAGGCAAGAGCCAAGCTAGGGATCCAAAGTTGAGGTGACCATGAAAAGTGATCCTTAACTTCTGAAATAAAGGTTAAGAGGTGTGACCTTGTAGCCCATTGGATGCTTAAGTCAGCAAATATAATAATAATAAGAAAAAAAGTATGCGTAAAGCCTTGAGCAGAGAGTAAAGCAATAACAATGTGTTCTTATTTATGACGTTAAGGTGCCTGTATTTATAATAATGCTTAGGTAATAGGATACCAAGCAGAAGTAGGATGCATGAAGGCTTTGGCTCGATCGAAGTACCTAGAAAATTCTTTCCTTGCAGGACTTTAGGTCTTTAGATAAATGTAAGGCTAGGTGCAAGTTTACTCGAAGTAGGAGATCGTTCATGCTCGATCAACACCAAATTCAAGAGGAGGCATGATCATGCACTCCCTCAAGACTTACAGGTCGATTGGGAAATCACACTTGATCATCCTGTAGGTCGGAAATGAACTATAGTGAGGAGAACAAAACGTAAACCTTGGAGTACTAATGTTGGGCAAAATGACACACCTTTGCCATAAGATTGCGAGAATTCACAATACCAGTAGGTAGATGAGATCATCGGAAAACAACTCAAATCATATTCTATACAAAAAATAAAAATCAACAATAAGAATTCAATTCATAATTTAATTAGGACAAAAATAATATTAAAATGTAATCAAAATAAAATATGTAAGCCTTGTTTAAGCCCCCATTAATTTGAATAAATGTATTATGAAATAGTGACTGATGAAGAATGTGTGATTAAAAATGAATGAAAAGTTTTTTATTTGTATATAATATTATTTTAATGAAACACGTGTGATTAAAAATGAGTACTGTAAAAAAAATTGTGAAAAATGTAAAATAAAGGGTGACAAGTTGGGCTAAATAGGTGTTGTAATTGAGTTAATTTTCAAATGGTCACTGAATTTAGGTTCATATCTTTAATTGATCATTGAAGTTTAAAATATCGAGTTTTGATCACTAAATTTAGGTCAATGTCTTTAATTGCTCAATGAAGTTTAAAATGTTGAGTCTTAATCTTTGAACTTTGAAAAATGTTGTACATTACTCACTGTAAACTCGATAATTTTCAAAGTTCAGTAGTTATGATAGTGATTAACGTACTATATTTTTCAAAGTTCAATGACTAAAACTCGATATTTTAAATTTTGGTGAGCAATCGAAGATACGGACCTAAATTCAATGATCAAAATTCGACATTTTAAATTTTAGTAATAAATTAAAAATATGGTCCTAAATTTAGTGAATATTGAAACAATTAATTCGATGTAATTGCATGAATAAATCCTGTCAAAGATCTCCCAATCCGATCTTCTTCAAAAACCTTCCAATATTGCTTGCATCATCATCATTGCTCTTCCCCCTCTTTCTCTCTCTATATCTCTCTCCAATGACTGAAAGTCCACTGCTGGTGCAACAGTTCCCCCAACCCCACTCTTACCTCTTTATTTATTACTTGCCATTGCGCTTTAGTTGTTAGATTCAAGTAATAAAAGTATGTTGTTTTCTTCAATGTTTTGAAAATCGGATCGAATCGATCGGTTCAATTGGGAACCGGCCTCAAATTCTGTCCGATACTAATAAATTAATCGAAAATTAAAAAATCGATAAATAACCTGTCTAACCAACCATTTTAGCCAGAAACCGAAAATTCGATCAAAGTTTTTACCCATTTTTTAAAAAATAAAAATAATAATAAAATTACAATTACAATTACTTTGATAAATGGGCTCAAGCATTGACAAGTCCAATGTTACATTCTTTCCAATACAAGTGTTGTTTTTAAAAGAGAAGAGATATACAATATTTTCCTTAACTTTCAATGTGAGATAAGTACAAGTGTTATTTTTAAAGAGAAGAGACATGCATTGTTTTCTTCAACTTCTAATGTGGGATAAATTGTAAAATCCTTTGCAATTTATATATTTGATAATTGTTCACTTTTTTTTCTTTCTATTAAACAAATTTTGGTCGCAAAAGCACAAATAATTTCAATTTTAACAAAGCAATTTATTTTAGACACAACAATTGTTAGTTTTTGATATTTTAAAATAAATTATAGGATAATAAATCATTAAATCTAATTAACAATTTATATTTACTTTAAATTAATAATACTACAATTTAAAATTTTGTTATTGTTATAATATTTTAGAGTTTGTTGGAGTATTTATTTATTTAATTTTGATATCCAATTTGACCTGGGATGGACCGGGTTTGACCATTTGACCCTTCACCTTTTTTTTGCTTTTCCGGGTCATTTTTAGAATATTGGTTTTCTTACTCTCTTGACTCTTCCTTCTCATCAAATTATCTTTGCTTTTCTCAATATAGTTAAAAAGTAAAGTCTCTTTTTTTTCTCTGAAAAATAGTGCTATGAGGACCTCCCATGCACAGAAGTTTGAACAGAGAGAATCCAGATTATTTTGGCTGTGTTGATGAAGCTGATCATGAGAAATATGAGAGCGGGTAAGATGGATGGGCCCTTTAAAGGCTGCAAGAGAAATGAGTGGAATTGCAGCACCAAAGAGTAATGTATAATGCTTTTCTCACTCCTCTTTCTCTCTCTAAATCTATGATCTCTATCTTTATATCCTTGGTGTTAACTCTCGTGTGGCTCCTCTCTTTCTCTATATCTATCTTTTATTAATGGGTCCGTTTAATTCATCCTCTACAAATCTCTAGCTGCTTCCCATTTTTTTGGCTTTTTAACCCACTCTTGCTTTCTTGCTTTCAATGGGTGTTGTATAATGAATGTCCAGTAAATTTATGACCATTGAGTTAAAAGCCCTCTGGTTAATGTATCATTTAAAGAAGAGTCTTTTAAAAAAGTCATGATTCTTGATGGGTTTTTGGGGCTCTGAATTCTCAGTTTCTTGGAATTTGGATTTCTTGAATGAAGTCCCACTTTTCTTTTCTTCATCACACAAGTAAAACATCTCACATTTTAGCATTATGATTCTATTGGGGTCTTTTGTTCTGGCTGTCTAAAACTTATTTACTTGTATGTAAACTTCTTAAGTTTGCCAAACATGCTGCGAGAGGACAAGTGGGCTACTGCTGGTTAGTGCATAAGGGCTTATTTCATGTTAGCCTTTTTACTTTCTTATACTTCTTTTAACAAACAGGAAAAAAGGTAGCAACTTTAATGTTGTTTATTGGGTTTTTATTTGGACACTAGGGAAATAGCCATAGGAAAAGCAATTATTTTCTCCTGAAGATATCACTTATAGAAGGATCAAGCTTTTTGGCATGTCATTAACAACCACCATCTGTTCTTGAAAGCACTGTCCTTTTAAACAATACATATTCTCATTAAGTCTTCAATGGACCGCTCCATTTGCCAGAGGTTTATACGTTCATCAGTAACATTTTCCCCGACAATGCTTAAAAAGGTTGGTCTTATGATCATTCTTTTATGGCTTGTTTCCTATGGAGGAATTGATACTATTATGGAAAAGACAAGAAACTAAAACCTGTTCATTGTATTGTCCACTCTGCCCACTGGCCAGAGTTTGATATGTGCATTCGTTCGGTGGTAATTTTTACCCCCACAATGCGTAGAATTGTGGGTTGTTATCATTTCGATATGGCATATACGAAAGGGATGATTCGATAGTACTGACAATTCTTTATCGAGTACTGCATACTAAACATCATTTAGTTTTTAATAGCCTAAATATTATGTTTAATGTGCTTGAGAGTTCTTTTTTGCAGAATTCTAATGTCAATGTTCTACTTCTGCTTCATGCTTATTTCTATTAGGACAGTAGAATCAATATATTTTAGCTAATTTTTCTCCTCCTTGAATTTTTTAGAACTGAGTAAAGAATTTCCATTAATCGCATTCAGCGAAAAGTAGGGTTTACTTGCCAAGAACACCATTATCGTTGTGGAATTTGGCTTCATTCACATCCCTTGCAGGGCTTTGAGGTTTTAAATTTGGTTGCACTCCTCAAATTGAGAAATTCAAGCTCTGTACTCCCCCCTCCTCTCTCGCTTTATAGTTTGAAATAGGGGCTTTGGTATGAATCAACATTGTATTCATTAATAAACATCTATATGGTTCACCTATCCGAGTAATTTGTAAACTATAAAAGTAGGAAATTTGCCATGTTGTATTTTCCTCCATTTGTTATTAAGATTTCTACATGTCCAGTCGATATTCCTTGCATTGTAATTTTCCATTTGCTGCATTTAACTTATGTAGTGTGGCTCAGAACTTCCTTAGATTCTTTCAGATCGAGTACAGCATAACGTGCTCTAAACTGATCTAAGATAAAGATCACAAATTGGGATACCACATCTTAGGACAAATATGTCATGATTTAGAAGCTTGTCGTACATAGTTCCTTGATTTCAGTTTTTTTTCTTTGGATTTTCAGAAGGTGGCGTTTCCAATGTGTTAACGCATATAGCCTGAGAACATTAACATATGTAGCAGGATAAGATTCTGCCGTTTCAGACTGGAGCTCATTTTAGACAACCTTAATTTGTCTCGGTTACTCTTAATCTACTGACAAGCAAAACAAAAATCAGGCCATGTCTGGGTTTTCCATACCTTTAGTGATGCAAGGAGAAGCTATTGACAGTTATGCTTCTGATGCTGATGAATTTCAGAACATTCAACCGGGGAAGGATACCATTAGAGATTTCTCGACTGCCACGTCATTTCCTGTCTGTAGGAATCCAGTTCTTTCTCAATTTGTTGAGGGGATTCCCCTTCCCGGGTTATCCATTAATACCCTTCCGGCTGTAAGATATGGTACTATCGAGAATCCCGACAACGTTTCAACTTCTGATACTTTTGATTATCACCTGGAATGCCCAAAAAACATTGTCCCAAGTGACTACACTAATATGATGAATTCTTCGTGTGGAACCATGAAGTATGTATGCAATGATTTACCTTTTGATACGAGCAGTAGATGGGACTTCAGCAAATCCTTAACTTCTCCAGAACTTGTAGGGACGGTTATACCCCAGCCAACGGGAAATTCCACTTCGAAGATATTACCAGAACGTGGCAGCTTGACCTCTAGTAGCCCAGGGTCGTCCCTATTTAGTAACCATCTGTCCCTTAGTCTTGCTACATCTCGAGCTTTTGTTATGCACGGGACTTCGGTTCAAGAACCATGTCTAGAGATGAGCTCGTCTGGTTTAACTAGCTATTGTTTGTTTCAAAGGCACATTGGGTCAGAACAAACATCTTGCAAAAGTAATAACGTTTCATTGAGCTCTAATTCTTCCAAGCCGGTTGAAATTTCACAGTTTTTATTGGGATCCAGATATTTCCGGGTGATGCAAGAAATACTTGCTGAAATTGCTGGCTTTGCATTTGAAAGTTTTGATCAAACAAGCTATTCAGCATTGAATCCTTCTGATTATCCCAATCGGGAACTTGGAATCAAGGATCAAGGAAATCGCCTTTTTCAAGACGGGGAAGTTGAAACAAAGAAAAGGCATCTGCTGGCTTTGTTGCAAGTGGTATGTACACCTTGCTAATTATTTTAAACTTTACTTAGAGAATCGTTTATCTATGTACGAAACAATGAAGTTGTATTTGACTCGTAATAATCTGGTGAAGCAGCTATGTGCATATTTTGCTGAGATTTAAAAAGAAATAAGTTATTTTGAAAGTAAATCTAACGTTAGTGTCAAACTAAGTAACTTATTTAATTTCAACTTTAATTCAGGTTGATGATAGCTTCAACCAATGCTTAGATGAGATCCATACAATTGTAACTGCATTTCATGCTGTAACTGAGTTGGAATCTGATATACACGCTCGATTTGCTCTTCCAACAATCTCTTTCATGTATAAAAACCTACGGGAGAGAATTAGCTGCCACATTCTTGAAATGGGAGCTAATTTTAGTGAAAGAGGGGTAATAGAAGAGAATTCATTTGAGGCATCCTTCATCCAAAAACAGTGGGCGCTTCAGCAGCTAAGAAAGAGAGATCATCCATTATGGAGGCCCCAACGAGGATTGCCCGAAAGATCTGTCTCCATCTTGAGGGCATGGATGTTTCAGAATTTTATTCACCCGTGAGCTATTATGCTGCATTTTTTTAATTGTTTGTTATAGAAACTTCAAAATAATATCCTCCATACTAAATGTTACGATAAACAGAATTTTAGCATTTTTCTTTTCTGCCAAGCATGTCATAAGCATGTTAATGGCCTCGTACTTTTCCTCTGGCATTCTGTCTTTGATTCATGTACTACTGTCCTTACTTTTCTTGTAAGCTCAATTCCTGCAAAACATCAGAGAATCAAGGGTGTTTTCTTAATATCCACAAACTTGCCTTTCGATGATTTAACCTTGTTTCTTTCCTCTCATCATCCTTTTGGTTGCGACTAGTTTATGACATCCTCTTTTCCTGTGAAAATGCATAGACATTGAGTTTGATCCTGAGGATGCCCACGTGTAATTTATACCAATAAAAAAGGGGGCAGTTTGTGTGTTCTATACAACTTGTTTAATAAGAAACTAATGTTCAGAATATGCCGTTTATTCAGGTATCCCAAGGACTCAGAGAAGCATTTGCTTGCATTAAAAAGTGGATTGACAAGAAGACAGGTACGCAGAGCCTTCCATAAAACAAGATAAGCATTTTGTGTTGTAAAGAGGAGGTTCCACAATATTAGATTTAGTCAACAATGAAAATACAGTAATGAATGTATTAAAACACAAAATCGGAGATCTCATTAAAGGTGCCCTAAGGCAGTAACAAGATGAAGATTCGGCCAATGAATAAGATGCTCCTTCCACCAAGCAGACCACTGCGAGTGTTAATCACACACCAAGGCTTAGAAATTAGGATGTTTTCGCACTCAGACCAAAGATCAGCCAAGATCATAGAAGATACAATCTTCTCACTTCACAAATCAGTTCACCCAAGAACACGGTACACTTCTCAGTGATAATCACTCAAGATTATAAAAAACAGTTTTGAGCAAGTGTTGAAAATCAAAGGAGATCTATGATTTTCAGAGAGGAAGAAGGAGATGAACTCGAACGGCCAGAGCAAAATGAAGAGTCTAGAAGAATGAAAATTCACGAGTCTCAAACCCTTGGACTCTCTTTTATATGAGTCACCAAATGGTCAATCATCCAATGGACATGGGGTTGACACATGGCATCATCATGAGGGTCCAAAGGAGAAACACGATTTTGCAAATTAAAAGTGCGTTTTTTTAAAGGACCAGCTAACACGTTCAAAAACAGCAATTAAAAATCAGCTGATCAACTCACGCTACTTCACCATTGTGCCACACCCTTTCAATCTCCACCTTGGTACAATGATTCACATACACTCAACAGTGGGGTTGCTCCCAGTTTTGAACATCAATTGCACTCATGTCAGATACTCAAATCAGCATGCAGTGATGTTCAACATGTTCAAGCAGTCCAAGAACTTGTTAAGGGGTAGCACCTTTGTACCTACATCAGCGGGGTTAAAATTAGTAGAAATCTTTTCAAGTTTCACAATTCCTTGTGAAATTATATCCCTTATAAAGTGAAATCTAACATCAACTTGTTTAGATCTATTATGTAAAACTGGATTTCTACTTAAATGAATGGCTGACTGACTATCAGAATAAAGAACTACTTCTTTAACAAAACCAAATTCATTTAATAACCCTTTCGGCCATATTCCTTCTTTTATAGCATCTGTTGCAGCAATATATTCAGCTTCAGTAGATAATGCAACAATCTTTTGAAGCTGTGATTTCCAGCTAATGCAAGAATTACATAAAGTATACACATAGGCTGAAGTAGACTTCCTATTGTCCCTATCACCAGCATAGTCTGAATCAGTGTATCCTCTCAAAATAACACCTTCAGTTTGTTTTCTAAACTGAATACCCAGATCTGATGTACCTTTAATGTATTTAAGAAGCTATTACATAGCTTCCCAATGAGCTTCACCAGGATTTGACATATATATACTTAAAACACTTAGAGAGTATGCTAAATCTGGCCTAGAACAAACCATGAGTTACATGACAGACCCAACTGCATTAGAATATGGCACTCTTGCCATTCTTTCAAATTCTTCTTTAGATTTAGGACATTGTTCATTTGAGAGTTTAAAATGATTTGCCAAGGGCAAACTCACACTTTCTTGGCAAACTCATACTTTTGGAATCAGACAAAGAGAATTTATTTAGCAATTTCAGCATGTATGACTTTTAACTGAGACTTAGTGTGCCTTCTCTCCTATTTCTTTTAACTTCAATACCTAAAATCATTCTCACGGGACCTAAGTCCTTCATTTCAAATTCTGATTTTAGTTTATTTTTGATATCTTCTATCTCTTTTATGTCATGACTTGCCAATAGCATGTCATCCACATAAAGGCGTAGATAAAGGAAATTTTCTCCACCATTTCCTTTACAATATAGGCAGGTATCAAAGTTACTTCTCTTAAAACCAAGTCCAAGTATAAAATTATCAAATTTTTTATACCATTGTCTTGGAGCTTGTTTTAAGCCATATAGGGATTTTTTAAGAAGGCAAACTAAGTCACACTTCTGATTTATCTCAAATCCTTTGAGTTGTTTTATGCAAATTGTTTCATCTAGATCACCATTTAAAAAAACTGTTTTCACATCTAATTGATCTAGTTCCCAGTTAAACTGTGTGGCTAAGGCCAGAATCACTCTAACAATAGTGAATTTTACAACAGGTGAGAAGATTTCATTGAAATCTACTCCTTTCTTTTGGGTAAAACCCTTAGCCACAAGTCTAGTTTTGTATCTTATATCATTTTCACTTTGTTCACCTCTTTTAATTTTGAAAATACATTTACAGTCAACAACCCTTTTTCCATATGGTCTTTTTACCAAAACTCAAGTTTTATTCTTTTTAAGTGATTGCATTTCATCTTGCATTGCTGCAAACCATTCCTCAGAGTCTTTACTATTAATGGCTTCCTCAAAGGACTCGGGTTCATTTTCAATCATACTTTGATAAGATAGCAAAGATACATCTTCATCAAACCTAGTAGGAGGTCTTATATGTCTTCTTTGTCTATCGCAAGCAAGTTGGTAATTGTCTAAAGGCTGATTAGTTTCCAATTCAACTTCAGATTCGTCATTAGGAACACCATCACCAGGTATCTCCTCATTTCTCTCATCAGGTTGTGCAGTATTCTGATGATTTTCATCATCAGATTGTTCCACCTCAATTTCAACCCCCTTTTCCACATTTTCATCGTGATTCAAAGGCCCTATTTTATTTTCAAATTTATGGCAAGGCAGATCATCATCATTAAACACCACATTTCTACTGATTATGATCTTATAGCCTATGTTCTCCCTTACCCATAACCTATATCCCTTTACCCCTTCACCATAGCCCAAAAATACACATTTAAGGGCCCTAGGTTCTAACTTTCCTTCAGATTGGTGTGTAAAGGCTGCACAACCAAATACCCTCAAGTTATTGAAGTCAACTGGTTTTCCACTCCACATCTCTTCAGGGGTTTTAAAGTGTATGGCACTAGAAGGGCTTCTATTAATCAGATAACTAGCAGTTTTAATAGCTTCCCCCAAAAAAATCTTAGGCAGACCTGAACTCAAGAGCATACATCTCACTTTATCAAGAATTGTTCTATTCATTCTTTCGACCAAACCATTTTGTTGTGGGGTGTGTGCTACTGTACGATGTCTTAATATACCAGAAAGTTTGCACAACTCATCAAATTCAAAATTGCAGAATTCCAAACCATTATCAGCTCTTAATACCTTAATATTTTTGTCAGTTTGGTTTTCAATCAAAGTTTTCCAGTTCTTGAACATACCAAAAGTATCAGATTTTGATTTTAAAAGAGAAGTCCAATTTTTTCTAGAAAAATCATCAATAATTGACAAAAAATATTTAAAACCAGTATGAGTTGTTACAGAAGCTGGTCCCCAAAGATCAGCATGCAAATATTCAAGTATAGACACATATTTATGCATTCCAGGTAAGAGAGGTAATCTATTATGTTTTCCAAGAATGCAATAGTCACAAAAACTGAGTTTTTCTATGTTATCCTTTCCAAAGGCACCCTGTTTATTCAAAATCTGTAGCCCTTTGTCACTAATATGGCCCAGTCTTTTATGCCATATATGTGACTTATCATTTTAGACTGAGATTGCTGCTGATGTGGACTCCAAAAAATTTTCAGTTTGTAAAATGTACAGGACATGTCTCTTTAGGGCTCCAATAATTATTTGTGAACCCCTCAAGATTTTAATGTATTCCTTGTTAATCAATATGTCATAGTTTAGGTAATCTAGAACCCCTAAGGAAATAAGATTTCTTTGCAAATCAGGAACATATCTAGTCTTTTCCAAAACCATGTTATTATTTCCTTTTACTTACAATGTAATTGTTCCTATTCCTTTAACCTGACATGTCATATGATTACCCATTAAAACCTTACCACCCTTTACATTTTCAAACTCTGTAAACCATTATTTGTTTGGACACATATGGTAGATGCAGCCAGAGTCAAGAATCCACTCTTGATTGGACACATATGGTAGGTGCAGCCAGAGTCAAGAATCCACTCTTGACAAGGTGAACTGCTTACAGCCACATAGACTTCATCAATTAAGGTCTCATTATTGTAGGCTAAGGCTGCACCACCATCATCTTTAGATTGGTTTTTGAAATCACTAATTCTTTTGGGACAGTTTTTGATAAAATGACCCTCATTTAGACAATAGAAATGCTTCTTTCCTTTAGTCTTCATTTTCATTTTATCCTTAGGATTTGTCTTTTTCTTGTGTCCAGGTTTTTTGATAAAGTTCATAGTCTTAGGATTAGATCTAGTCTTGGCCATCAAGTTCTCCCATTGATAGATTCTTTCCTATCAGACTTTAACTCTAATTCCTTATTTCTTAAAGCATTAATAATCACATCAGTGGTTAGAGTTTCCCTCCCATATTCAATTGCATTTTTAACATCTTTATACTTATCACTAATTGAATTTAACAAGACCACAGCCAACTGATCTTTTGAGAGTTTCTCATTACAGTCGGCTAGGTCACGGGATAGTCTATTAAATCTATCAATATTAGCCTCAAGGTCAAGAGATGAGTCAAGTTTAAAATCGAAAAACTGTTTCAGAAGATACACCTTATTTGGCATAGATTTAGTCAAGTATGTATCTTCCAACTTTTTCCACAACTCAACAGCAATATTAGTCTCGCCAATTTCTCGTAATACATTATCAGATAAATGCAGAAAAATTGAACTCCAGGCAGTTTCATCAAGTTCAATTTTCTTGGTTTCTTTTAAATCATCAGGCCATGTTTCATCAATAGCTTTAGCACACTTTTGTTGTAACAAAATTGCCCTCATTTTCTGGCGCCAGAGACTGAAGTCTCCTTTGCCATTAAAAACATCCAATTTAAATTTTGTATTTGTCATTTTAGAAAGTAGTTCCAGAATGTACAGATCAAATAGACACTTCACAGTTATTTACAACTCAAAATCAATTCAAGTATCACCACTCAAGAGACATGAATATACAGTAATCATATGCTGTAAAGAACTTCAGTTATTTCACAAGAGTTGTTCAAAGTCTAAGAGTCACAGTGTGTTTATCACAACACAAATCACATTTGAGCAGCAAGAACCAAGATTATATGCTAATCAGTATCACAGCAGTGTATTAATATCAAGACCTTTGACTTATGTCAAGGTAACCCTTAGATTCCAGAGAACTCTTAGGGTTTCTGGACCAAGGAATTACCAAGGCAGTCGCAGATTACAAGATTAAATCACAGTAGCAGCAGCTCAAAAATTTATACAATTAATTTGCAGTAGTAATCGAAAACTAGAACAATCTCACCAGATCCCTTCAATAGGATTTCAAGAAATAACGAAGGTTAGCTAAAGCAAGTGTCACAATTTCAGATCTACACGAGTTAGAGTCAAGAACCTCCGTCTGAAAGCTCTGATACCACTGTAAAGAGGAGGTTCCACAATATTAGATTTAATCAACAATGAAAATACAGTAATGAATGTATTAAAACACAAAATCGGAGATCTTATTAAAGGTGCCCTAAGGCAGTAACAAGATGAAGATTCGGCCAATGAATAAGATGCTCCTTCCATCAAGCAAACAACTGCGAGTGTTAATCACACACCAAGGCTTAGAAACTAGGATGTTTTCGCACTCAGACCAAAGATCATCTTCTTCTTCCTCTTTGAAAATCATAGATCTCCTTTGATTTTCAACACTTGCTCAAAACTGTTTTTTGTAATCTTGAGTGATTATCATTGAGAAGTGTACTGTGTTCTTAGGTGAACCGATTTGTGAAGTGACAAGATGATCTATGATTTTCAGAGAGGAAGAAGAAGATGAACTCGAACGGTCAGAGCAAAATGAAGAGTCTAGAAGAATGAAAATTCATGAGTCTCAAACCCTAGGACTCTCTTTTATATGAGTCACCAAATGGTCAATCATCCAATGAACATGGGGTTGAAACATGGCATCATCATGAGGGTCCAAAGGAGAAACACGATTTTGCAAATTAAAGGTGCGTTTTTTTAAGGGACCAGCTAACACGTTCAAAAACAGCAATTAAAAGTCAGCTGATCAACTCACGCTACTTTATCATTGTGCCACACCCTTTCATGTGTTTATAAAAACACGTTCCGTCTCCTCACTTTATCCATGGTTAATGCACAATCTCACTTTGGATTCCCATAAACTATGAATTACACCAGAGCATGCTTGACATTTGTGTTTTAGTCATATTACTTGTTTGTTTTCAGTTTTGCTGCACCCTCCTTTATCAAAATTTAGGACCTACCAGGAAAAGAACATAAGCAGATTTAATACGAATGATGCATTAAGAATATCTTTTCTTGTTCTTGCTGTTGTAATACAAGAACATGTACTTGCTTGAATGATTTTTCGATTCTTTGTGTATAAATTGTCTTTAAAGTAGTATATTTCCTTGTAAGCTATCCCCTTTTTTCTTTTTTCCTTTTTTTTGGTGATATCTAATTTCTACGAGCAATGGTTATGATCAGGTATCCAATTGGTTTATAAATGCTCGTGTTCGTCTGTGGAAGCCGATGATAGAGGAAATGTACACGGAGATGAACAGGCGGACAGGTCGCCGGAACAATGAAGGAAATGACAGCAACTGTAGAAATCATATGTTCTTTGAGAATACAAGGTTTAAAATGAATTAACATAAGAAAAAGATATTCTGTAATACATGGAAGTATTATTATTTGCTGAATCTAGTCAAGTTACGACGGTAAAAATCTGTTCAGTGTAACTGAATCAGCTATATAATGATGAATATGTTGTAATTTTTTAGAGCATGTTTGGCAAAGCCTAATCCCCAAAATATGTTTGGATTAAAATTTTATTATTATCTTTTAAGTAAAAGTTACTCTTTTTGAACATTTTTAATTTTTCAGGCAAAAAGTAAATAATGTAAACTTCATCGGTGAAAAATAGTTTATTCTAAAACTTACTTTTATAAGTGTAATTGTATTAATTCGTTGAGTGAAAATGCTAAACAACTATAAATATTTTTTATTTTTATTATTATTATTTATTTTTTTTTTTGTAAATTTCCAAAGTATGGCTTCTGACGTGGAGATTAACTTTATTGTAGTGCATAAACATGGACAAGAAACAATGGGTGTCGAGAAAGATAACTTGGATCCACTGGAAAGAACAGAAGTGAACATTTTTTTTAGTGGAAAGAAAACAAAGTGAGAATTCAACACAACAGTTATGAAAACTTATCCCACCTTTTATTATTCTTGCCTGCTTTATTGTCATAAACAATTATTATTCAAATAATTTACAGATCACTCGCTAATTCTCAACTAATACTCGTGATTACAAATGAGAAAAAATTGTCTTTTCTTTCTTCTGTTATCTACAATCGTCCCGGAGTTTTCTTGGCACACGACGTTCTTCCAATAACATGTATATTCATCCCCTGCTACATATGATTACAAGAACTTGCTTACCATCTTCACCCAAGACTTATGCAGGAATTCTAGTTTTGATTGGTTTTAACTTCAATCCCATGCTTTCCGGTGAAAAAAGCTCGGGTGAGATGCTAGTAGGACTTGAGGGACTTCTAGGGCTGACACTGTATTGAGATGGCTTGTAGAAACCATAACCCATGAGAAAATATTCCAATGGTATTAACATGGCGTCTGGTTGTTCTTCTGTGACCACTGACCCACATGATTGAACCTGAATAACAGGAGAGGGTACGTTTAAGTAATGTTTGTTCCCTGTCAAAGTGAACAAGAGAGTGATGAAACAGTTAAAGCATACCTCGACTAAGGCACTGAATCTTCTATCTAGCTTTGAAGTCATATGGAGGGCCTCAAAGTGGAAAGGAGAGTTTTCTCCAACGAATATCAAAGATCGACACTGTAGTCTCTTCAAGCCCTCGCTAATGTCCGGTCTCCTGTGAAACAACAGATTATTACCATTAAATCTTTTTAGCTTGTTTTGCATGCCGCATTTGACAGCAACGTACAAAATAAAAGAAAAAGAAAAAAGAAAAAAAAAAAGAAAAAAAGCAAGCTAAAATCAAGAATGCTGTACTGTGTAGCGTTGTTTAATTCCGTGCATTAAACATGCCCTTGGAGTGTAGGCGATAGTTAATCCAATGCAGCTTATGATTGATTATGCATCACGTATTTGGAAAAAAATATCCTAGTCCATGTTTAACAAAAATCTTTTTACCTTTGTAGCAACAACAAATTAGACTTTCAAATGATCAATATGTTCATCTTAAAAATGCCTGCAAAGTCTCGTCATTTATAATAAAAACATCAGGAGAAAGAATATACCCATTAATTGCTTCAAGAAACCGCAGCACATTTGGGGTTTGTCTTTCTCCCAACAACTGCAAGCAAAACAATTTCAGTGAAATTCTCATATCAATCCAACCCTTGCAATCCATCTCGCATCCAAAAATAAAGAAAATAACAAAAGAAGGCACTGACTCTTCTGCATGCTTGAACAACATCCGAATCTGGTACATCTGTGCTGCCACGAACTTCCTGTTGTATCATTGTAAATGTGATGAAAACATTTACCATATACAATGATTTGAATGAAAAAAACGAAATGCACTCCAAAAGAACACCTTGCTAAAGTATCGCATCAGCAAAAGCTCCTTCACCAAACCGCACATGCCACAAATATACAGTAAATTTGACATCACCTGCAAAGGGTTTACCGCGACACAGGAAAAAAATTTATTTCACCTTCTCCTCCCCCAAAGATGTACAAACAATTAATTACCAAGTCCACAAACGCACCAAAGAGATTGGTGGAGGAATGAGTTGAGAAAATTAACCTTATTGCATAACCATTCTGTCCAAGACGGTGCTTTGCATAGAGGGGAAACAAGAATCAAACCCATAACACGACGAGTATATTTCATCTGTGTTGAAGTGGAGTATAACTTCAGCAAAAACTATCGTATGGAATCAAAATACAATCATTCAGCTGCTGGAACTAGGGAAACTTACAGCAAACAGGGTAAGAATATAAGCTCCGGCTGTCACCCCCATGCACATCACGGCATCAAGTCTAAAGGAAAACAGAAAATATATCGCTCCAGGAAAAGAATTGTCAAAAAATCGTTGAATGTCAAAGAATATGAAGGCAAAAAACCATCAAAGAGATAAAGGGTTTAAATAACTAAAATTCAAGGAGGGTTTAAGAAGTAATAACACTGAAATTACCCAAAATAGTCAAGAATCTCAGCAATCTGATCAGTTAAACCATCAACGGATAAAACAGGTTCATCTGGGCTGATGGCAGCAGCTTCTAACTGCAATACTCTTGGATAAGTTTCAGATATAAATTGATGTGAATAGAAGCATTCCGCAAAAAGGCTCATGTCAAAATAATTTTTTCCTGCATAAACAACATCAGGAATCAAGCAATCGGTGTACAGACCTCGTGTCCGGGAGGGCTGAGATGGTAAATACAGAAGTTGTGGATAAGCAGAGAAAATGCTTCTGGACAAAAAAAAAGTCCTTGGAAACAAGACACATCTGTTCAGTGATGCAGACAAACAAGGATTTAGATGTCAACACCATTCCTAAAAAATTCAATCTTCCTTCAAATCAATGAAATGGAAAAAAAGATGCATGGGAAGCAGGGAAGCCAAAAGCGGAACATGCATAAGATGGGTAACTACAAAATTTATGTAGGAATATCAACCTAATAATTAAGAAATACTTCACGTGCTCAGTCTCAAGCATACGGCTCATCGTTTCGAGCTTGAAAATATTACAATTTTAACAACAAAAATTACTTTAGTGAATTCAAACCAAAAACAACTAAATAATGAGAAAAATTTGCTAAGACACTTCCATTCCCCCCAAATGTTAGCCAATATATAGCTCAGTTAAAAAAATGTTACATCGAGATAGGTAATGCAGACTAGAGATGTAATATGATTAATCAAAGTTCAAGACAGCACTTCATGACAAATTAGTATGCTTACAATTTAAAGCTAGATCAGGATAAGTGATTAAAGCCGGCTTGTCCAGGTCTCCAAAAACAGTAACAGAGACATAACCGTGGCTTGTCTTAACAGTATGCTTCTGTAAACAATTAGGCAAAACCATAGTTAGCCAAAATCCTTTACAAAATACGACAAAAACAACAAATAAAACCAATCTTCCACTAGCTATTTCAATTTGATAAAAATTTCTTGTGCCTTATGCTGTAAAAAGGAATAATTTTTCATAAAAGCTAACGCTAGGTATATCTGGTTTCCTAACAGGATTTCCCATTTGCAGTGGTCCCTTGTGAAAAAGTACAGTTAGTTCATCAGTACACTTTCGGAGAGGATTGAAAGGGCAACTTTTTTTTTTTTTTTTTTTTAACTTCATTGCATTAACTAAGAATCAGAGCACATGTGAATAAGCAAAACAGAAGAAGAAAGAATATACTTAATTCTTCATAACTTCAATAATCTGAATAAGTTGCAAACCAATTATAATCTAGAAAAAATTTGCGAAGTAAGATATAGTTTTCATAATTTTCAAAAACTTCCAAAATTATCCACAATCACACTCCGGCCACAATACATTTGAAGACACGCTTGAACCAAGAACGCGCAAGAGCCAAGTCGGTGACATATATTACTATATATCATCTTTTTATGTTGATATAAAGACTCACATTAAGCAAGAGTAACAAATTTAGGGGGAAATGTCATCTATGTATAATCCAACTATGATCGCAGCTCAATCTACAATCAAATGCAATCAAAACAATGGTATAATGAACTATTTTTCGTGGAACCCAAAAAAGAAAAGAATACAATAAAACCTCTTCGATAAATTCATAAAAAGTTAATTTTTCACCTCGTTTATCAGCATAAATTCAAAACTTCTACATTAAATTGAAGTTCATAAAATAACTTTGCACACAAATATAAGCACATACATAGTGTATATATGCATAAAAATGCATGTATAATGTGAGTAAGTTTGACCTTTCCGGGAAGATAAGTGCACTCCACATCGACGGAAACATAGTCGCTGGAGTCCCCCATTGGTCGGTACCTCTCTCTCTCTCTCTCCACTTTCTCTCACTAAAACTCTCGCCCGGATATTCGAGACGCATTGGATTTGGCATCTATAGCTTATATACCAATCCAGTCTACTCTCTTTCTCTCGACACTTTTTTCTTCGGACAAATATATTCTGTACGTATCCAAATGTTTAGTAGGTTGAGCTGACTCACAACGTTCACTGAGTCACCGACGCTTTCCTTAACCCGAGACACGATTGAAGTTTAACTACAGTAAGAGGCCGACGGAATTTCTTTCAAAAGACTCAAATGCCCTTGAGACTTCTTTCTATTACTCATCTAGTCCTGTCACTCCTTTTCTATTCGTCTTTTTCTTCTTCTTTTTTTTGATAAACACTTTTTGACCTTAGCTTATTGTCTTGTTTTGTTAATAGTGGAGGAAACCGAATCATAATCCATGCGAAATAATTTAAGATTTGAAATTATATTTGTAGATAAATAAATATTTCAATTGTTGACCCCAATAAACGTTGTCAACAGATACCGGGCCCACCCGCGCACACGTGAGCGAAGGTCCAACACACTAAGACACGTGGACGGTCTACAAAAGATAGATCAAGGGCGTAGGAGTAGCTCCATGATGCGGGACGAAAACGTTCAGAATCCGGCGATATGATCGTAGAGCGATTGTATAATAATTACCAATCGATATTTGAAAATGTATATCTAAATATGTATGGACTCATTTGTGTTGCAAAATAATAAGCAAGAGAGAGTTGAATAAAATATGGTTTCTTATATTGATTCTTGCATTCGCCCTTGTATGGGGTACATGGGGGAGTATTTATAGTGTCACAAGTTAGATCGTGACCTTTGGTTCGGGGTACACGTGACCTTATCCGGTTAGTTTACATGTCAAATTGTAGGCTGATCAGTCGCACCTAACCTGTTATACATTATTGATTGGCAGAGCCGCCTCTACTAGTGACAAGACTTAACATTTACACTCATGACAAACGTCCTATCAATCATTCAAGTAAGATCTTTGTGCAGAAGATCTCTTGGGAGAGATGTCTATGGAAGATGTTGCTTTGTGCTATAGATGTTGTCACCTCGGCTAAGGAGCTTCGGCAAACAGGGCCTTGTCCACCTTCAAAGGGCCTCGGCATATGGGCTTCAGAGTTCCTCATGAGGCAAGGATAAATGGGCCTCGATTTGAGGGCTTCGGAATCTGTGGACCTCGGTTTGTGGGCCACGTGGTTCGCTATGGGCCCTGGTGGGTTGCTCAAGTGTGCGAACACGTAACAATAGTCCCCCAAGTCCAAATATAGTCATTTATGTAATGCGAGGACTTTGATGAAGTGAGGCCAGCCAGCTAGTTGAAAGAAATTTTTTTAAAATTTGTATACTCCAAATAATAGTCCCCCAAGTCCAAATATAGATATTAATATCATGGTTGGAGTTAGAGATTTGCTGTTGTCTAAGAAGTGATGAGAATGATGAAGCCTGGGTAACTGAACCTGCGAGGCTTGATAGCTGATTTCTGATGTAGAAGTCGAGGTGGTTGAGGAACCAAATCTACGAAACTTGATGGCTGAATTCTGATGAGGAAGCCGAGGTGGTTGAGGAACCGAACCTACGAGGCTTGATGGCTGAATTCTGATGAGGAAGCCGAGGTGGTTGAGGAACCGAACCTACGAGGCTTGATGGCTGAATTCTGATGAGGAAGCCGAGGTGGTTGAGGAACCGAACCTACGAGGCTTGATGGCT